TAAAAAAATTTATTAGACCAAGCTCTGTCAGCCCTGAAATTTTCATATGAATCTAACAACCCATTGTTGGATTGCTGCCACTTAATTGATAATTTTAAGGAAATTTTGCAGATTTTGGTTATTATCTTGAATATTATTAATGATAAAGGTAAACTGTAAACAGCAAAAATGTTCAGCAAAGTAAGATCAACAAATAAGTTTTGTGTGACCAAAATTGTCAATTGTCCCCTTAAGGAGTTATTGCCCTTTAAAATCAATTTTTCACAATTTGTTCATTTAGTTTGCTTACTTTAAAAAATCTTATTCTTTGAAACTGCTGAATCAATTTCAGCCAAACTTGGGCTGAATGAGTTTCAGAGTATCTAGTATAAATTTTGTATTTTATTTTCTTGTACGTCAAGAAACATAGCCACTATGGCTAAAATGAAAAATAGGGGTAAAATGCATTTCTTTGATTTTGAAGAAAATATGACAGCTACAAAGAACATTTCAACGGACGTTTTAATCCATTCATTAATGTGTATTGAAAAGCAAAAATAATCATTGACGAAAGATTTAAGCAAAAAATTACAGGTGAGCGATTCAGGCTCTTGAGAGCCTCTTGTTGAAAGGTATTTTTGTCTCGCCTTGACGGAGTCAAAAAGCCAGACATAGGTATGCTGTTTCTGGCGGCGGTGGCGTCAACAATGTATTAGTTCTTATTAGGCCTAGTTCATGGTGAACCACTAGTGGTAGGTCAATGATATTTGGTAAGCAGTTGTATTAGCATTGGCACATCTCATTCCCATGAAGATTATTTGGCCCCACCCCCTCAGTCAAGGTCTATTGACTTTGAAACTTTGCTTAGTTTACATGTATTAGTTTGTGATTAGGTCAGTTTATGGGGAACCACTAGTGGTAGGTCAATGATATGTGGTATGCAGTTGTATAAGCATTAGTATATCTCATTTCCATGGAGATTATTTGGCCCTGCCCCCTCAGTCATGGTCTATTGACTTTAAAACTTTTGCTTAGTTTACATGTATTAGTTTGTGATTAGGTCAGTTTAAGGGGAACCGTTAGTGGTAGGTCAATGATAATTGGTATGCAGTTGTAGAAGCATTAGCATATCTTATTTCCATGGAGAATATTTGGTCCTTACCCCTCAGTCATGGTCTATTGACTTTGAAACTTTTGCTTAGTTTACATGTACTAGTTTGTGATTAGGTCAGTTTAAGATGAACCACTAATGTTAAGTCAATGATATTTGGTATGCAAATGTATTGGCATTTGCAAGTTTCATTTCCATGGAGATTATATAACCCCACTCCCTAATTATGGTTCATTGACTTTGGAACTTTTACATAGTTTACAAGTTAATGTTTGTGTTTAGGTTTGTTTAAAGGGAACAACTTATGAAAAGACAATGGTATTTGGTTTGCAGTTGTATTAGCATTGGCACATCTCATTTCCATGGAGATTGTTTAGCCCTGTACCTTCAGTCATGGTTCATTGACTTTGAATATTTGCATAACTTACATGTTAAAGTATTGTAATTTTAATTTCAACATTTGCATTATCAAAATAACAAATAGGCGAGAAATATCTCTGTGTTAACAGTTTATTAAAGTAGCCATTGATAATTTTATAGGACTATTTAAATGTCTTTTTTTGATAATATTTTATTTTATACCCCAACTCTAAAAGTGGGGGATATATTGCATTCACCTTGTTTTGGTAAGCAGCTTGACAGTGATGAGTTGTAACATGTGAGCTTTTTTTTATCGGTCTTGATCCAATGTCCCATTTGCTGATACTTTGAATTTTTCAATATGCTGAATGAACCTTAAAATTTTCCATCACACTTTTCTCAAGTACAGCTAAACAGAATGACTTTATATTTATATATATATATACTGATTGGAATGTCTGCATTTGGTCAGAAACCTAAAAGTAATGAGTTGTAATGTGTGTGCTCCTTTTTGGATCTGTTGGACACCTACATCCTGCTTTTTGATACCTCAATTTAAGAGTGGGGTATACATAGCATGACAACGCATGCATTCTTGAGGTTGTTGGGATGTTGTTTCTGATATTATATTTAATCTCATACTTGAGAGAACTGTAAATTTAGAAATTTTTAGGATGTTTTTATTACTGTAAAAATTGTTACAGAATAGGTATTGCAAAAATTAAAACTTGAACACTAAATTCTGATAGCAATTTTTGTTTTGCAGCATTTACTGAAATTGCCATAATTAATATTGCATTTTTGTCAATTTTTCAAAAATGACAATAATAAAAGGACACAAAAATATCTGAATTTACACTATTCAGATTATTCTTTAGACTTGGAAAGCATTGCTTTGTACAAATTATATGGGTTTGGTAAAATTGATAGAACTGATATTCTATGGAAAACATCTGCCTTGGGAAAAGAGGTGATAAACAGAATACATTTCTAGTATTAATCAGTGCCCTTTGCATTATTTTTTGTCATATTTCACTGAAATACCAAATCACACTGTTTTCTGTTGATATTTTATAAAGGTATTGACTGATGTCATTTGTGCTCTAGAAAAAAACGTAGGAGAAAATAAACTTTAGCTGTTAATATATGATTAATGAAGGATTGTATATGTTTTATGCCACTCCTGAGTTAAAGAAATAAAGATGTTTTTTCATATTTACTTTTTGAAGAAAACAATGTGTGTGAATAAGCCTTATCAAAATTTTCTGTGGTATTTTATGCATAGGGTATACTGAATTGATCAGTTTTCATGTATCATTTTTTCGTTTTAAACAAGATTAGAAAGTAATTGTTGTTTGTGATTGCAAAATGTATTCATAAGAACATATCTGCATTTGTATAACAGTATAAAAGAAACTTATTCTCAAGTAAATATGAAATTTCATGTCGTCTGCATGGCTGGGTTATTGTTAAAGCATGTACATGTATCCTGGAATTTTGATTTTATAAACCAATGTGCCAGTTTGTGAACCTGTGTGTTTAAATAACATTAAGCCACACCAAATTAATTCCTTGTTCTTTAGACTCCTACTGTTGAAAAAGAAAAGCGAGAGAGCAAAATTTTTATTTTTAACTGGTTTTAATATGGAGACAGCAGGCAGGCAGGTGGCTTCCAACAGTTTCCTTGCAATAACTCATGAACCAGTCCACCAATGCTTTTCAAATTTTGAAATGTTGTAACTGATGACAAAATGGAGGTCAAGTTGGATATTGACAATTTTCACAAATTACTGTTCAGGAGTAAAGGTTCTTGTTAAATTGGAAAATTGCACTTAATGTAGTTTCCATGCAATAACTGATGAACTGTTTCATGCATGCTTTCAAATTTTAATATGTTGTAACTGATGACAAAATGGAGGTCAAGTTGGATATTGACAATTTCTCTTTTACTGTTCAGGAGTTATTATGCTTGATAAATGGGAAAATGGCACTTTATATTGTTTACATGCAATTAATTATGAACCCTTCAACCAATGTTTTTCAAATTACTGATGACTTAATGGAGGTCAAGTTAGAAGTTGACGATTTTCTTTTTTGTGGTTCAGGAGTTATGGTCCTTGATAGATTGGAAAATAGATACAGAATGTGGCAGGTCAAACAAGCCTGAAAGCGCCTTCAAAATATGGAAAACTGGTTTGTTGTCAATTTGACAGCTCATTTTTTTGTTAATTTTGTTCCAAAAGCTAAGGTCTTTTCACCACCGAACACCACCGCACACCGCCGAACACCACCGAACACATTAAAATACCACCTAACACACCTAAATATATTGTTTTCATCTTTATTTATATATTTGACTTACTTTCTGAACGAGGATGAATATGTTTATACATTTAGATTCTACCACTGCATCGAGTGTGATACGATATTTACCCACTCGAGACAGTTAAATTTTCAAATTTAAAACGCAAGGCTTGCCGAGCGTTTTAAATATTTAAAATTTAACTGTCGAGAGTGGATAAATATCGTATTACACGAGATTTGGTGGTGGAATCTGTTTCTCTAATGATTTTCAAACAATACGCAGGCAAATTTATTCCTTCTTTTCGAATGATCTGCAAAAAGATGTGTTCTTTCTATGTGACGTCATCAGGCATGGTCGCCTTTTTTCGTGCCGTCACAATAGGAAATTCAGAGGAAAGCAAGAAAATTCGACGTCATAATTGGATTTTAACCAATGAGGAACTGAGATCAAACGAACCACACGTTGATAAAAAAATTTTTATACAATGGGTGCAGAAAGGGATAAATTGACGAAGAATTAGAGAAATATATATACACAAATTAATAAGAAATGATAACAAGAGAACCAAAAAGAACAGTCTTGCAGGGCTGTTGTCAGAACAGTACACTTTCAAGTCTAACATAATTATTGTGAAAATTTCACATTAAATAAAATGTTTTAACTTATTTGAACAATTTATTTCTAATAATTGAAAAGTAAAGACCATAAGATAATATACAATGAAATACAGACAATGTAAATCCGGAAAACATATTGCTGGATCCGGAAGCGTTTTTTTTTTAATTTGATTCTCAACTTTAACATCACATAAAAATGTGAAAAACATGAGAATAGGATTAAATTTTACGTAATTTAATCGATTTTATTGTTGTATTGTGTAACATCACTGTTTTTCTTAAGGGTTAGTGGTCTTTTTGGGTGTTCGGTGGTGTTCAACGGTGTGCTGTGGTGTTCGGTGGTGAAAAGACCGACCCCAACAGGACCTGTACAAACCACTTCAAATTCTTGGAATCCCGGATGATGTAATTGAATCTGATTGGCTAAGATAGAATAGTGATGAAGGGATTTTCCACTTTCTATTTTGGAAATTCCAAGAATTTTTTTGTTACTAGTCTGACGGGCATATTGGGTTAAAAATTTTGATTGCTGAGGCATAAATGTTTTAGTTCTGGGCGTCAGGTTAGTGGATTTTTTAACCCCTGAAAAGATTTTGATAATTTTATTGTAAGTTTATTTTGCTTTCAGGGTCTTGTTGTAAGAGATTTAAAATCTAAGAAAGCAGAAAAGTCTGTGATTGATTCTGAAGTTGCTAAATTGCTGGATCTGAAAAAGAGTTTGGCATTGGCTCAAGGTCAAAACCCTCAAGAAGCTGTTGGTGGCGGAAAGAAGAAAGGAAAAAAGAAGTAATAGACAGATTTTAAGTGATTGATTTATTTATTGGAACCTAAGCTGTCTGTGAATAAAAATTGCAAAAAAAGCAAAATGTTTATCTTATTTTTCATATTTTTCCATTAATCTTTGTTGTAGGATGTTGCAACTTTTTATACGACCGCAAAAAAATTTTGTGGTCGTATATTGGTATGACGTTGGCGTTGTCGTCGTCGTCGTCGTCGTCGTCCGAAGACACATTGGTTTTCGCACTCTAACTTTAGTTTAAGTGAATGGATCTTTTTGAAATTTTACCATAAGGTTAAATACCACAAAAGGAAGGTTGGGATTGATTTTGGGGGTTATGGTACCAACAGTTAAGGAATTAGGGGCCAAAAAGGGGCCAAAAATAAGCATTTTCTAGTTTCCAGACAATAACTGTGGAACGGTGTATGGATCTCTCTGAAATTATACTACAAGTTTCCATACCACAAAGGGATGGTTAGGATTTGCTTTGGGGGGTTATGGCTCAAACCATTTAGGAATTGGGGGCAAAAAAGGGGGAAAAACAAGGTTGTCCTGGTTAATGGACAAATACTTTAGTACAAAACATAATTTAAAGCAGTGTAAAGGAGATAAATCAAATACATCATTGAAATTATCTCCCTTACACTGCTTTTAAATTATGTATAAAGTAATGGTTAATGAACAATAAAGATAATTTAAAACAGTGTAAGGGAGGTAATCCAAATACAACGTTTTGGTTACTTCCCTTACACTGCTTTTAAATTATGTTTAAAGAAATGCATATTTATAAAGGAAGACCAGTAAAAATATCTGCAAATGTTGCATCATTTTTTTGTCGAGCCTGCGACTTTTGTCGCAGAAAGCTCGACATAGGGATAGTGATCCGGCGGCGGCGGCGGCGTTAGCTAACTTCTTAAAAGCTTTATATTTAAGAAGGTGGAAGGTCTGGATGCTTCATACTTTGTATATGGATGCCTCATGTTACGAAGTTTCCGTCAGTCACATGTCCAATGTCCTTGACCTCATTTTCATGGTTCAGTGACTACTTGAAAAAAAAGTTCAGATTTTTTGTAATGTTAGATTCTCTCTTATTATAAGTAATAGGATAACTATATTTGGTATGTGCGTACCTTGCAAGGTCCTCATGCCCGTCAGACAGTTTTCACTTGACCTCGACCTCATTTCATGGATCAGTGAACAAGGTTAAGTTTTGGTGGTCAAGTCCATATCTCAGATACTATAAGCAATAGGTCTTGTATATTCGGTGTATGGAAGGACTGTAAGGTGTACATGTCCAACTGGCAGGTGTCATCTGACCTTGACCTCATTTTCATGGTTCAGTGGTTATAGTTAAGTTTTTGTGTTTTGGTCTGTTTTTCTTATACTGTATGCCATAGGTCTACTTTATTTGGTGTATGGAATGATTGTAAGGTGTACATGTCTAGCTGGCAGGTGTCATCTGACCTTGACCTCATTTTCATGGTTCAGTGGTCAAAGTTAAGTTTTTGAGTTTTGGTCTTTTTTTCTAATACTATATGCAATAGTTCAACTATATTTGGTATGTGCGTACCTTGCAAGGTCCTCATGCCCGTCAGACAGTTTTCACTTGACCTCGACCTCATTTTATGGATCAGTGAACAAGGTTAAGTTTAGGTGGTCAAGTCCATATCTCAGATACTATAAGCAATAGGTCTTGTATATTCAGTGTATGGAAGGACTGTAAGGTGTACATGTCCAACTGGCAGGTGTCATCTGACCTTGACCTCATTTTCATGGTTCAGTGGTTATAGTTAAGTTTTTGTGTTTTGGTCTGTTTTTCTTATACTGTATGCCATAGGTCTACTATATTTGGTGTAGGGAATGATTGTAAGGTGTACATGTCTAGCGGGCAGGTGTCATCTGACCATGACCTCATTTTCATGGTTCAGTGGTCAAAGTTAAGTTTTTTGAGTTTTGGTCTTTTTTTCTAATACTATATGCAATAGTTCAACTATATTTGGTGTTTGGAAATATTTTATGATCTATTTGGCAGTCACGCAGGTTTTATTTGACCTTGACCTCATTTTCAAGGTTCATTGCTCAGTGTTAAGTTTTTGTGTTTTGGTCTGTTTTTCTTAAACTATAAGCAATAGGTCAACTATATTTGTTGTATGGGAGAATTGTTAGCTGTACATGCCTGCCTAGCATGGTTCATCTGACCTTGACCTCATTTTCATGGTTCATTGGTCAATGTTTAGTTTACTTGGTTAATGTTAAGTTTATGTGACAGTTGTAATAAAGCTTTATATTTAGGACTATCAACATAATATCAATGATTAGTAAAGAAGGCGAGACATTTCAGCGTGTGCACTCTTGTTTTACAAAAAAATCCATATGAAAGATTTGACACTATATTTTTAATTCTATTATAAAATAGATTAAGTTAGCACTATGGTAAATTTAAATGAGTAATTATGGTTGCCAACTCCATTGGAAATTTGAATTGAGATTATGACCATATCTTGAGGGAAAGAATTTTTGGGGGGAAAAAGGGGGGGGGATAAAAAGAAATTGTGGGGGGTCAATTTTTTCTCATTTCAGATTTCAGAAATTAAAAAGAATTATTCTTCAAATATTATTTTTTTTTCAAATTTCAAATATTGAAAAATTTCAAGAAGTAATCTTTAATTGCACAGTATGGCGCATTAGATTTGTAAAATCTTTGATCACATTTATTTATTTGTTATGCCGAATCTAACAGTGTATTTAGATTTTTAATTTAGGGTCCAGTTTTCAAAATAGTCTACATTAAGGTCCAAAGGGTCCAAAATTAAACTTTGTTTGATTTTAGCAAAAATTGAATATATGAGGTTCTTTGATATGCTGAATCTAAACATGTGTTTAGATTTTTGATTATGGGCCCAGTTTTCAAGTTGGTCCAAGATAGGGTCCAGTATTTAAACTTTGTTTGATTTCAACAAAAATTGAATATATGGGGTTCTTTGATATGCTGAATCTAAACTTGTGTTTAGATTTTTGATTATGGGCCCAGTTTTCAAGTTGGTCCAGATTGGGGTCCAAAATTAAACTTTGTTTGATTTCAACAAAAATTGAATATATGAGGTTCTTTGATATGCTGAATCTAACCATGTATTTAGATTTTTTATTTGTAGGCCCCTCTATCAAATTGGTTCATATTGAGGTCAAAAGGGTCCAAAATTAAACTTTGTTTGATTTCATCAAAAATTGAATTATTGGGGTTCTTTAAATGCCAAATCTAACCGTGTTTTTAGATGTTTAATTTGGGTCCAGTTTTTTAAATTGGTCTTCATTGAGGTCCAAAGGGTCCAAAATTAAACTTAGTTTGATTTTAACAAAAATTGAATTCTTGGGGTTCTTTGATATGCTGAATCTAAACATGTGTTTAGATTTTTGATTTTGGGCCCAGTTTTCAAGTTGGTCCAAGTTGGGGTCCAAAATTAAACTTTGTTTGATTTCAACAAAAATTGAATATATGGGGTTCTTTGATATGCTAATCTAACCATGAATTTAGATTTTTTATTTGTGGGCCCCGCTATCAAATTGGTTCATATTAGTCAAAAGGGTCCAAAATTAAACTTTGTTTGATTTCATCAAAAATTGAATTATTGGGGTTCTTTGATATTCCAAATCTAACCGTGTATTTAGATTTTTAATTTTAAGTCCCGTTTTTATACGAGCGCAAAAATTAAAAAATTTTTTGGTCGTATATTGGTATGACGTTGGCGTCGTCGTTGTCGTCGTCGTCGTCATCTGGCGTCGTCCGAAGACACATTGGTTTTCGCACTCTTACTTTAGTTTAAGTGAATGGATCTCCATGAAATTTTACCATGAGGTTCAATACCACGAAAGGAAGGTTGGGATTGATTTTGGGGGTTATTGTACCAACAGTTAAGGAATTAGGGGCCAAAAAGGGGCCAAAAATAAGCATTTTTGTAACTTCCAGACAATAACTTGTGTGTAAGTGTATGGATCTCTCTGACATTGTACCACAAGGTTCCATATCACAAAGGGAAGGCTGTAATTGATTTTGGGCTTAATTGCCTCAAAATTTTAGGAATTAGGGGCCAAAAAAGGGGCAAAAAACAAGCATTTTTCTAGTTTCATGACAATAACTTGTGTGTAAGTGTTTGGATATTTCTGAAATTGTACTACAAGGTTCCATATCACAAAGGGAAAACTGGAATTGAGTTTGGGGGTAATTGCCCGAAACGTTTAGGAATTGGGGGCCAAAAAGGGGCCAAAAATAAGCATTTTTCTAGTTTCCAGACAATAACTTGTGTTCAAGTGTATGGATCTCTCTGAAATTGTACTGCAAGGTACCATACCACAAAGGGAAGGCTGGGATTGAGTTTGGGGATGATGAATCATAAGGGGGTTCAAAAAATTTGGGGGGGGGGGGGATTTTTTTTTTTTCTTTTTTTTTCTTTTCTTCCTTTTTTTTTTCTTTTAAAATTTTCCATTTTAAGTTGGTTATTTCTGATTAATATTTAAAAGCAAATAATAATGATATGGTAGGAGATACACACCAAACAGGATGTGTAAATTATTATATAATAAGTATTGTGCAATAGCAAGAAATTTTCAATTGCACAGTATTGCACAATAGCAAGAAATCTTCAATTGCACAGTATTGCGCAATAGCAAGAAATCTTCAATTGCACAGTATTGCGCAATAGCAAGAAATATCCAATAGCACAATATTGCGCAATAGCAAGAAATTGTCAATTGTACTGCGCAATAGCAAGAAATATTCAATTGCACAGTATTGTGCAAAAGAAGATACTTCGTATAGATTGCTTATTTCTTGACCAATTTCAATGGGGTTTTATTCTTGAATTCTTGGGGTTCTTTAATATGCTGAATCTAATCGTGTATTAAGTTTTTGGATTTTGGGCCCCGTTTTTAAATTGGTCCACATTGAGGTCCAAAGGGTCCAAAATTTAACTTTGTTTGATTTCATCAAAAAATTTAATTATTGGGGTTCTTTGATATGCCGAATCTAACCGTGTATTTAGATTCTTAATTTTTTGGTTCCGTTTTCAAATTGGTCTACATTAAGGTCCAAAG